ACAAAAGCGAAGGATTCATCCAAACAGGGAGGAGAGTGTCGAAGGGAAGGACCCTACTCTGCAGGATGGCACAGTGCCAGAACGCAAGCAGGGGCCACCGAGACACAGCGGCTTTTACAAGTAGTCGATATTAAATTCTTTTTTCTATCGTCTGGAATGTAAATCGTTACATATATTACATACAAGATAAATTTTCACATGCATATTTTGCAAAAGTCATCACTCAACACAGGTTATAGGAATTTTCCCTGTACAAAATATAGTAAGTGTTCACTACCTGAACACGCCTTATCCGCCCTCCCCATTACACATGCCACCAAGTCCCGTTGCTGAAACTCGAGCTACGAATCGAATCCCATACATTGTGAAATATCAGATTAAAGAAAAAAAAAAAATACGATAAGATACCAGTCCACCCTGTTAGATGCACGCTTACGCCAGTGGTTGAAGCTGAACGTAACTTAACGTACCTCATCGCTTCCTAGTTTTGAAGTGTAAGTTGAACTCGCTTTCTGAACTTCACCCAAGGCTTTGTCACTTATATTGAACGCCCTGATACAGTAGTTTGGTTTTATCGAGGCAGTGGGTTTACTATATCGCTGTATCTGTGGCAACCCGGCTCCAGCCCATGTCAACACAGGGAGTTGCCAACGGTAGTATTTATTTTGGTGTTTTCGTTATTATTGATGTTTGTGGGGCTGGGAGGGAGAAGTGTATGTACGGAGGATTGTCATTTTTATACATATAATTTGCTGTGGTCGATTGTATTTATTGCCAAGTTGTAGATAATTGTTATTTTCTGATATTTCATGTGCCGGAACATGACGTCACAGCTTCCTTGCCTTTTAAAGTGTTACCAGTTCCCTTTTTATTTCATTGACTTTATCTTCGTATTTTAATCTGTTTGTCTCTCGTATTCCTTTTCTTTATTAATACATTTTCCTTTTTTATCGCTTTCTCCCTACCCTAGACTCTCTCTCCCTCTCCCTCTTCCTCTTCCTCTCCCTCCTCCCTCCTCCCTCCTCCCTCTTCCCTTCCTTCCTTCCCTCCTTCCCTCTCTCGCTCTCATCCCATCTCTCTCTCTCTCTCTCTCTCTCTCTCTCTCTCTCTCTCTCTCTCTCTCTCTCTCTCTCTCTCTCTCTCCTCTCTCTCTCTCTCTCTCTCTCTCTCTCTCTCTCTCTCTCTCTCTCTCTCTCTCTCTCTCTCTCTCTCTCTCTCTCTCTCTCTCCCTCTCTCTCCCTCTCTCTCCCTCTCTCTCCCTCTCTCTCCCTCTCTCCCCCTCTCGCTCTCCCTCCCTCCCTCTCTGGTGGCTTTCGATTTCTGTGTAAATTCTCCCCAGTTACGAGACTGCTATTAAAGAATAGCCCGACATATAACAAAACACGTTTGAGCGCGCCTGCAGAATGGACTACCGTTTAGCTTCAGTGTCGAAATCTCTATAGCAAACAGGTAGATGGAGTTGATTAGGCAGAGCAACAGATAAAATATACAAGGCAATAGTCTATTACTTTACATATTATATATCACCTGCCAGGATTGATTCACAAAACCATCGCCTGTACAAATAATACCGTGCAACTTGCCACCATGTGTTAAGACCACAGAGAGGATTCGCCGGTAATAGAACCATACAATATGCCACCCACTACTATATAGACCACATACAAACTACTTAGAGATTCATAGGTGTTTTTCATACATTCTCAGCACAGCAGATACGAAGGAAATCCTTGATACCGGAATAAATTTTTCCTCTGTTACTATATTCCAACGATATTGAACGGCATTACGCTCTCTCAGTCCTCATTGATAAAAAAATATAGTTCATTTAGAATGCGAGGAAATGGTGACTAACGGAATTTGATCAATACTCTTGCTTGAGTTGGCCGTGGACTGGCTGGTAGAAAGTATTCGGTTTCATCCAAAAAAGGATGAATTTTTAGGTTCATTATTTTGTTTTTGTTTTTATTATTTTTATGAGGACAATGGTAGAAGTTACGAGGGTAGTGATAGGAGGTATGAAGATAGTGATAGAAGTCATCTAGGACGGTGATTGGAATTATGGGGACTTTGATGAGAGTTATGAGGACAGTGACAGTCATGAGGACAGTGATAAGAGTCATGAGGATAGCGATAGGAGTCATGAGGACAGTGACAGGAGTCATGACAGTAATAGGAGTCAAGTGGACGGTGAAGGTCACGGAACAAGGATTTTTGCCTTCTCTGTTGTGGCTGGCAGATATCGGTGTTTTATAGCCATCATCGTCATTATTGTCATTCTAATTCGTGTTGTCTTCATCATTATTAGGCATTGTGGTCGTCTTAATAGGGTTAATAGTAGTATTATCTCTATTAGAAACAGGGTAAGTACTTCACCATTTACTGTCACCTCTAATAAGAAAATGCTAAACAGGAGGTGATAATTATAAGTGAACTTATGTAGTTTTTAAGAGATAAAAATCGCTTACTGGATTAGCAGAACTAAAATATAAGGTTGTCTCACCTGAATCTTAACTGACTTCAGTGTGTGTGTGTGTGTGTGTGTGTGTGTGTGTGTGTGTGTGTGTGTGTGTGTGTGTGTGTGTGTGTGTGTGTGTGTGTGTGTGTGTGTGTGTGTAAACATTACACACATTTTCACCATATATCTATAATCCAGTTTAACAAAGAATGTGTAGCTGAACTGAACCTCCCTCTCCCCAGATGCCTCGCGGGCGTGGGCGTGGGCGGGCGGCGACGAAGAGGAAGGCGGCGGCGGCGGAGGACGAGTAAGTTTTCCTCCTCCTCCCTGGCTCCTGCTCGGGGCTCTCGGGGCGCCTCTCGCGGCTCTCTTTCTGGCTCTCGGTTTCTGTTTCTCTGTCTATGTCTCTCTCTC